TCCCATATGAGGGTGAACGTAAAGTGCTTCTGTGATGCATGCATGCACAAAATTCAAAATAACACAAATGCCCTTCTCCATTTGGAAGCACCATTCAGTATATTCCTCACGCTGCAAAAACAGCATGTTCTTGATTGCCACACCACACCGAGAAACAACATGTCAATCAAGTTCAACAGCTATACTCATGTTCTTCGAAGTGGTCCTGCTGGTAACCGACAGGAGTCCGAACCCCAGTTGCATTTCACTGCGTTTGCCTTGGGCGCCGCATCCCGTGGGCCGCACCTGATGATCCAGCTTCCTTCGATCCGGATGGTTCAGCATCATTGGGACAATGACAGCTTCGCGATCACAGAGCTGACCTCAGAATATGCGCGAAGAATCTCGGGAAGCAAGATAAACAACCACACAAAAAGGGAAATTGCAGCTTGCTTCTTTGCTCACTCCCAAACAAAAAACATACCTTTTTCTGAGCCCTCATCCTTCGACCTGACCAAACCATCAAGATCCCACACGGAGACTCCAATCCATAAACCGGGACCGAAGCTGATGCAGCTTGGAATAGAAACCGGGTAGATCGGGTAGTAGTTAGACTCACTGTTCCGGGCGCTGAAGAACATCGATTGCTGCATTGCATGGCATATGGTGTCCTCCCCTAACGCGTGATGAAATCTCACAGGTTAACTGAAACCCTTCCCAAACCTCAGAGTCCTTCCCACCATCATTATCCAACTCTGTCACGCCAGGCAACGAAAGGCATCCTGAGGATGCTTGGCACAAACATCACGAAGACTGCTGGGTGAGACCTGCAGGCCGCGAGTAGATCTGGCCAGCACTCTGCTTTGCACTGAGTGCTGTGCACATACCAATCTTGCTTCCAGGAAGTCCTCAGGAAGGTTTTGTTTTGAAGAATAGTTGTTTCCATGAACTTCAGAATCACTTCCCTGCTTAAAAAGCAGGGGATGCCAAGCACCCTTGGAGTGGGACTTGGAACTGAGCAAGGTCTCTAGACTCCAAGAGGAATCACCGCTACAAAGTTACCACACTTCCTGTGGAATCTTCTGAGAGCTGAAAGGGGCCGCTTGAGAGCAACCATGTTGGGTTGGTTCTTAGTGAGGAAATGCCTGGTATACGGACTTTAAAAATTTCTTGGTGTGTGTGCGTGGGGACTGTGGGGCCAAAAAAAATCCAAAGATCCGCAACAACGATGCATAAGGTGCACACAACGACTTGTGGGCTCGCTTGGGCTACCCAACCATCCAAAGTGTTGCTACCTTGATCACTACAATTTCTGAGCCCTCCCGTTGCCCGAATTTTATTTCCCAATCTGTCTCAAAAACGTGGAGTATCGGGAAGAAACAACTACGCAAGATCACCCAGGCTATCTGTTGGACATCTCTTCGCATCCAATGGACCTGAGGCTGGTGACCTAGGACCCCAGCCTGGGACCGGACAGCTGAATGTGAGGAAGGTAGGCTGAAACTGGGATGAACTCCTGAAAAATGAGAGCAGAAGTGGCCGGAAATAGTGAGTGGTGAAACCTTGGAGTTCCCCATAGTGGATATTGTTGGGTGGTTGAATCAAGTGGAGAATTGACTAATACTGTATCTGTTGCTGGGGGGGGGTCTTGGAGAGGGACTCCACGAAGACCACACATTCTGGACTACTTGGAAAATGCAACTATTTGTTTGAACCAGTGTTGTACAGCTTAAGAAGATGCTAAACCAGGCAGTGGATGTTACACTCAACCTGTATATAAATGCACGACTTGCCATCTTGATGTTGTAAATTCACTTTGACGCCTCCGATATCCTTTGATCAATGGACCTTCGTTGCGCTGTTTTTTCTGCAAAAATTTCTGGTTCAGATGTCCCGGAGTCCTAGGTGCTCGGTGTATTAGCAATATTTTTCGGGCAAAACATTGAATTTGATATCCAAACGCACGTAGCGCAAGTGCTGGGAAACCAGACGCCATATATACGAACTTATGACAGCTGTAGAAACGCTTGAAAGAATTCAAAGCATCCACAGTGGGTCAATATTGCCTCTGTACACGCTCAACTTGCGCCACTCCTCACCCAGCAATATAAAAACAAAAAGCATTGTTTACTTTCAACTGTCCTTCAACTGTTCCTGCTACATTGTGCTATATGCTTCGGAACGTCGGAAAGTCACGCCGGCAAAACTGTGCAACCAACCCCACTCAAACAAGATCTGATACACGTGACCACTGGTTGACACGAATGAGTAGCCTTTGTGGGCAGATTTGGCTCAAACTCGTCCAGCAAGAAAACTGCATTGTGGCTGCTATGAGGGCATCGAACATGAAGCGTGCCAGTCTCTCAGCATCTCTGCGCATGGTGCTACATGATAAGCATATCCGATCTTGAAGAGAAGCCAATTGAGTTGAGACTTTGTGTATGGAAAGCACCACGCAAGACTGGCACTTCGGAGGCCGCAGCCTAGAGCTTCCAATTAATTCAATGATATATATATATGTATATAGGCAACTGCACATGGACTTCCACGGCCCTCACGCGCAGCCATCCATTAGAATATCTGTCAAAGATCCTTATGGCCACAAGAAGTTGCTCTCCACACCCACGCTGAACTTCAACATATCTCGACACATCTTGTCCATCACCTGGGCCGACAAGGTACAACATGGTCGACATGCCGCGTCACTTAAGAATGCAGTGCTTGTTGCTGTACGCAGTTCCAGTGGTGGATCCGATGTACAGCATGGCCTCTGTGACCGTTCACGCGATGTGGTGTTGAAACCCTTATACTTCTGGCAGTCATCATTGACGATGCGACAGGCCTGTACACGCACCAGCGCTGATGGGCTCAAGTCTCGAGCAACACACCGCCCAAGCCACCTGTCAAGATGCCATCCTTGGGTCCGGCAATGGAATAGACCCAGTGGAACTCATGTGCGCGTGTTCACGTGGATACTGTTTGAAATTCATCTTCCAAGCCTTATCAGCAAAAGCTATTAACATAAAATGTCAAGCAAACATGTGAACGCAGTTGATTATAGACTCTTTTGACTGCATATTGAGTAGAGTCTGCCAAAAGGGACAAACGCTTGCTCATGCATCTTACCGATGAGCTTCGCCCGAGGAAGCTCCTGACCAACAAAGTCCCGACTGACATTCCGTGTGATTGTGGCTCTGCATCTTCATAAGGAAAGACTTTCTCCGGTTCGGGCTCTTTATCGTCGTCCAAGATCTTCACCCAAGCCCATCAAGGAAGCTCTGTGTTCGATAATTCAGCAAGACTGTCTCCACGGAAACTGGTTGAGACATGTCGTGGTTTGATGTAGCAAAGGTTCTAGGTTGTTTTAGGTGAAATCACACGAAAACGTGCCGTATCAAGGGAAGTTTCCGTGCTTCAATTGCATCAGCGTGGGGCCCTCTATTTCCTTGCAGGTCTCCTCCGCCATCTGAGAAAGCACCATGCCGACCAAGAACGTTGAGAATTGAGAATGTCAAGCGCCACATGATGAGATCAGTGCACAATTCTATGGTCTAACTCTCGAGCCGTGAATGCTAACTGAGCCCCGACCTATACTTTCTGCAGGTGGCAGTCACAGCGCTTCAACCAAGCATACTCAGGGTGAGTGGAAAGCTTGCGAGGGGAGGCCCGTTGCTGGTTGTTTCCACAAGTAGATTGCATCCATGCAAAATCAAGTGGGAGTATACATCACCCCAAAGCCGGGCCAAAGTTGGCCAATCTTGCCGCTTGCCTCAGTACATGCTGAACTTGTGCCATTCATCCCCCAGTAGTGTCACATTGGAAAGCATTTTTTCCTTCCTCTGTACTTAGGCTACTTTCAAATGTTCTTCAACTGCTCCTGCTACATTGTGCTCCATGCTTCGGAACGTCGCCAAGCCCACTTAAACAAGATCTGATACACTTGACCACTAATATCCGTGTTTCACTTGACCACTCTGATACTCTCACCCGGATCCGCTGGTCCTTGTGCCCTCAGCCGCTCCCAATCAATGACCGCGGCTGGACGCATGGCGCCGTGGGCGTGTTTTCACGCCACGGTGTCTTGGTCAAACGCTGTCGTCAGCGCCTCTCTACAACTATAAGGCAATCATCGCAATCTTTATTTGGGGTATTCAATGATTCAATATGTACCATCAAATAAGCATGGCTTGCAAAGGAACAGGCTACTACGTCAAATAACACATACAAAGGTAGCAATCTCACTGTTATCAGCAAATACTGTATTTGGTTTTCTATTTTCTATCTACCTGGGGCCAAAGGGGGAAGGCGGCCATTGTTTACATGATTACCTTGCTGAAACTGCCAGCAGTAGAAGCTTTCTTGATGCCATTTTGACAGGCCACATCCATTGCGTGCATGGTGTGGCTTCAGAGAGGAAACCGACTGTTCGTACCACCTGGGAAAGTATAGCTTGGCAGGAAGTAAATAAATGGTCATTAGTGCCCTCCCGCCGTCATCTCCCCTTAAGATTCAATATCCTACTCAGGCAAGCTGTTAGATCCTCGCTGCTTATCAATTGATGCTTTACAGTTCTGATGAGTCCCCTCTCTCTATGCATTTTTTGGCCCTGCTATAGATGTCTCACTTAGTGAAAACCATTATGTGCAACTTTGCTTCTGTCGAAAGGCTTCACACAAATTCTGCCTCTCGTACATGACATCAAAATACCACTGCTTTGATTTGGGATCTTGATGGCAAGGACAACGCCTAATAGTGCAGTTGCATAAGGGTTGCCAAGGTAGAAGCAGTCATACCCAGAAATGTGCATGGGTGGGTGATATTAGAGCCAACACGAGGGGAAAAGTAGGGGATTCCTGTAGCAGGGCCCCCTGCATCTAGGCCAGCATGTTGATAGTGATATGACATGATATGACCCTGTGTGGATAGACTACCTTCTGACCTGCGGATGATTACGTCTGACCATCGCAGACCAGCAATTGTCCTATTCCCGAAGGAACCCAGAACGCTCACGCCAATTGCACCTGTTGCTGGACCATGGCCTTATCACCAGCGCGATGGCCCCAATCCACGCAGGTGGCATAGGCGATAATGATCGAAGGTCCTTGGAAGAAATGGCTGGTCTGAATTGAACCCTCCGGATGAAGCCAAACCGAATCCTCAGTCACCAACGTCAAGACTCTTTACAAACCAATTCCTGCACCACCTCACATCCGTGGAAGGCCCAAACAAAAGCCAAGAAACAGATGCCAAATGACTCCACCGAGCACCCCTATCACCCTGAGTCTCATTGACTCCCATGCTAAAGGTCCAAAACTAGCAAGGCAATGAGGGTCAAAGGCTTCTATTCGAGTGAGAATTGTACACACTCATAGACTGATTCTCCGAGCAGCAATCAAGCAAAGAAACTCAGCTAGAACAGCGAGTCAAAGGGGGTGAAGTATCAGTGCCAATAGTCCACAGCCCCGACATGCACAGTATATGAAATCACCCCCCCTTCATTGTCAGGGTTTGGTGCTTTTATAGGCGTCATAGTCATAAAATAGCATAAACCCTGTGAAATGAGATTGCCAGAATTCGCCTGTAAAATACTCAATCAAGTAAAACCAAAACAGATCTATGACATGGGTAAGATGGATTTCAAGATATTCATCGTGGCTTAGCCCGAAAAAGTGACCATGGTCGATTCCAGTTTCTTTGCAAAGAAGAATACGCACAGTTTATAAAATGTACTGGCATGGATTCTGATGCAAAGTTAGTAGGACATATCAAACTCATGGCCCTGGCAGGATCGCAGCGTTAAAGGCAACAAATCTATATTTGTATATCATATACAATAATATATATATATGTATATATTGACAGAATAGACCTGCCTCTTTCAACCTGGCTCCATATCTCTCTTGTCCCTAAAAGTAAGTACAGCCTAAGGATAATGTGATTTCTGAGGGGAAATGCTGGCACGGGATGAAATGAACTAGAGCAGTTGCCAGTTTCTGTAGGTCTTTGTTTGCAACCTAACACCCAATGATTTTTGTTCTGTTAAGGGCATCGCTACTAGGAGCAAAAGGCATCGCTACTAGGAGCAGGGACGCTACTAGGGGCTCCTGGCCTTACTACTAGTAACAAGAAGCTACTAGGAACAACCAATGACCGAGCTTCCGGGATAGGCCTCGGCTTCTTTGAAGGCCTTGACAGTCTGATTCACGTCCGCGGACAAGGACACCGAGGCCACATAAGCATTTTCATGCATCATGGCCTAAGATACTGCGAAGGTGGAAGTGATGCCAGTGGTGAGAAAGCGAGAAAGCGGAGTGGGGGTTTGTCGAAACCGTGTTAGTTTGTTGTTTTTTGATCACCATAATTTACTGCAACTCGACCAACGGGTGGCTCGTTTCAGTGATTCCGGACTAGTCATTGACCGACCTCAGATCCAAAAGTGAGCATGGTAAGGCACGCGTGGCCGGAGCAGGTCCGGATCATTGTGATCGATCGCACGCGTGGGATCTTGGGTGGAAGCAACCCTGAGTGGATCCACTTGCAACTTACTGCCACAGCTAGGAACAAAGGGAACAAAGGACTGAACACCTAGTCGCAAGACCTGGTTTCTAATAACTTATAACTTGTAACTTATGACCTCAACAAAGCTGCATTTTGGGCAATTGGTACTCAAACCAGGGTGAAACAAATTCTGACCATAGATCTACTAGGATTTGCTTGGGAACGAGCTACAAAGGGGTCCACATTCCCAAGGTCCAACTGCCCAAGCTTTTCCTTTGGCCTGATAAAAACAACTTGCAAGCTGTTTACGCAAACCAGTTTGCATAAGTTTAACACACATTCATCCAAAGTTCTATAGACAACTGCTGACACTCAGTCTCCACTAGTCACTTGTTGGATCTATGTATATATATATATATTGTAGATATGAAAAAAGCACTGAATACCAAATACACAAAACATGACAAAAACAAATGTGACACTCCCATGCTTTGCCTCTGTTTCAGGCTTCAGGACTGTCTTCACAGGGATTCCGTATGGGTGACCCATGGTCTTCACGACTTTCATGCATGGATGTCTTCAGAAGAACAGCAAAGTGAGCACCTTCTAATGGCAAAAGTAGGAGCTTCGACAGGTCCACAAAACGTTGCGAACCCCACATAAACTAAGTGTGAGCCCCCACAAGCTCCACGACCACAATGACGCTTTGCAAAGCATTGACTGAACATCCAAAAACCTATTAAATCTGCATTGAACACACCTGCACTCTTCACCCAGAAACGCTGCGATGCGCGATGCTGCCGTCGGCCAGTAAGTGCCGAGAGGCAATGGCGCCCAAGTCCTTCTTCTTTGCCCTGTTGCCACCCGCCGACATCTTCATCGTGGCACCCTGCCGCTGCGGATCCCGTGCTGGGAATTCTTTTTGCAGAAACCACGAACCGAAAGGGTAGCAGCAAGTAAAGGTTGCCCTCTCAAACACACAGCATGCCATGCATGCTGCATGACTATATCGAGTAGCTGGATAGGTGGGAGCCCTCTTTAGGCTAACTCTAGGCCATGGGAAGCAGGGGCGGAGTGAGAAAAAGAAACGATGCATGGCCGTGGGTATCGCACAGGCAATTCTGAGCATGTGTATTGAAAAACTCTGAGCCAGCACAAGTTCCACAGGGAGGAGGACCTTTGGTGGCAAGGGGGGGCAGCAACATGAGAATTCTCTATCATGTTCTGAGAGTAGGATACATAGAAACGTCCAGGGCAGCAAATCAAAAAGGATCTAAGAAGCAAGACGATGGTTTGGAATTCTGGGTGAGAGGAAACAAAGAAAAACACTTTCTTGCATCTGGGTTAATTAATCCTTCGGGTTGATAAGCCAAAATTTGAGAGATGAAGAGAGCCTTAGAGAAGTTGAACTAAGTTGAGAGCAGTTTAGTTTGGAGAACCACATAGCTCTCAATCCGTCTGAACTGCTCAAAGTGGCCCAAAGATGTGTTGAGTCTGAATTCTTTTGTCTTGTTTCATCCAGAGTCCTATTAAATTAAATATAGCGCCTATTACCGATTGTGCTTATTAGCGCTCTGGTGGTTCAGAGTGAAATGACATCTACTCTCAAAGCTTTTGCTGCTTGCCCATTGCCGCCACGGCTTCTCCCCTATAAAGGTTGGATCATGAGGCATTCCCGTGCGACACTACGATTTTGCCATATGAGTGCCGGATAAAATCTGTCGTCCAGCCTACGGACATAGCCTTGAACATGGGTCGGCCCCCATCGGTTATGCGGGTGTTGTGGGTTTGAGGAGCACTAATCTTGCGAAGCAGAATAAGCGACTTTGAACTGAACATGGGTCAGAGTCATGAAATCTAGAAACTGCCTGTCTGTTGTGTGTGCGCTCCTCCAGTAACGAAACAACCAAGACAAACACACACACACATACAAAAACAAACGGCATCCCCAAACGTCCCCAAACACTATGATATCTGGATCTACAAGAATGATACCTTCATGTATCTAGATCATCTGGATCTGCTGTCATCATCCAACCCCCCGCTGTGATGGCTTGCCTTGGGGGTGGCTTTCGAATTCTGAGCACCAGTATTGCCTCACAAGGCAGAAGCAAAGCGAGAAGCGAACACGAGCCCAGCAAACAAGGAAACCAGCACCGAACACGACCACTCAACACAACACGACCACTTGATTATACCATTCACATCCCACCTCACCTAGGTCCTAGGTATCTGCTGACTCTGATTGAAGTGAACAGCTTAGTCGACAGCACTCAGTCCCAGTTGGTGAACTCCTTGGGGTTCGGCTCTCAGTAAGTACTGCACTGTCGGACTCTTCACTCGGGAGAGAAGCAGTCGCCCGTTGATCAGGGAAGAAACATGCGGAAGCAGTCTTCCACGTTCCCGTTGTTGCCTCCACTTCCTCCACGAAGATTCAAGATTCTTAAAAAAGAAAACTGCGCTCCAATGGATCAGCAACGGATAACCGGATAACCCAGAGTTCCCAGCTGAGGCTGGCTCCTGTGATGATCTAACTGCCCGGCCTTCACGAGGGAAATGAAATCGAGACAATGCTAAACACTTCACCACTTGCCACCCAGGGGCTGTAGCCCTCCGTGTCCAGGACAAGAACGTTGATGTTCTGACCTGAAAGCAGGGTCTCAAACAAGAAAAATACAATACTGTAAAAGAGGCATGTCTCCTTCACAAGTGCAGGACATGCCATGCATAAATGCATTCATCGAAGACATAGTCTGGGTAGTTCCTGTTGTGGGTCCAAGCACTTGTTTCACACGCAAAGAGCGCCAAGTCTAATGCAAAAAGGATTGGATTTCCAACGATTTATCAGAACATGTCCATGAACAGAAGTGCATGTTGAGAAGTCTAGAAAGGACAGAAACAGCATGGACAAACTGTCAATACTTGCTCCCTCCCTGAGTCACTGAGGTTTATGGTTGCATTGCATTGTGTAATTACGAAGTGTACGACTTCAGAATTATCGCTGCAGAACTGTCACACTTGCAGACTGTCCCCATGACTTGTATCTTGCAAGCCGTAATGCATCTCTCGCAAGCCATGCCATATTTATCAACATGCGCCACCATACCCGAGTAAGCTTCATCCGATTAAACCAGCTGTTGGTAATTGCTGAAACATGCTGAAACCATCACACAAAATATGCACCCGTGCAGAATCCCAGAGCCCGTACCACAGTTGGAAGAACCGTTTGCTGTAAGGCGGTCCCACCGTCTAGCAGCAAAAGCATGCAAAAGCTTCCACCCGGCTACCTTTGTAAGTAGGAAGTTATTTGTCTCTTGAAGCCACCGACTCCTTGCACAGCGTTCTTTCCAATTCAAGATCTTATACCTTCACTTTCACTTAACGATATGTCCACATCTTCACATGTCACAACAATCTCACCCCCATTTCCCTCACAGGTGGCTTTCTCGGACCACTTTCTCACTTCCAGGCTACCAGTGGCCAAAACGTGGTCCAAACCGCCAAAGCCGATGTCGTACGCCCATCCGTCACCGCCGATGATCCAATGGGACGGGGCAACCAGCAGGTCCTACTCGCTGCCGTTGGTGACGGTCGGAGGTGTCAAGGCGATGCCAGGATCTACTAGTACCAGTAGCGTCCTTGCTCCTAGTAGTCAGGCCAGGAACCCCTGGTAGCTTCTTGCTCCTAGTAGCGATGCCAGGAGCCCCTAGTAGCGTCCTTGCTCCTAGTAGCCGATTTTGAGCCAAACCGAATTGGACAACCCAATGGCATCACATAACCAGCCGTTGATCTGCCTACATTCCAGGGGTATCCCCTCGCCCTTCTTCCAATCCCACCAATCTGAATCAACCCTCAGTTGGCTACAACAACGCGCGAGCAGTCAGGTGACAAGGAGGACGAGTCTGGGCACTGGGGTGGTTGGTGGAGCCCAGCAGACTTGAAAGCATGACACAATAGACGCCGAATGCAAGCCTTCGAGTTGGCAGGGGGTATGACATGTCTTGACCCTTGCGTTTGTTCGGAGTGACACCCGTAGTGTCTTGTCTTATAGTGGACCGAAGCGCAAGTCAAGACTAGGTCGCTTGGTCATTTCACGCGTTAACTTAGTAAACTTAGGGTTGTTTCATAATGTTTCATAGATTCTCTCTTGGGCAAGGCCTGCAACACTCAAATGCTTAAGGGAGCGAGCTTTGACCCAGCATGCCTTGCCTTCCTGTCACACTGTAGGTCACCCATTAACAGTTACTGGTAGCCCACAATAGCCCATCTGTGTTCCATCGGAGGTATATCTCTGATCTCGCGATGGGTCCGTCCCACGTCCGACCCTCCCATCGCTCCGAACCACGCTTGACAGCGCCCAAGGCCACTGGAGAGTCGGAGGTCTCTGGCTCCTTCAGGTGGGGAACGCACTTGTGATCCTTGCTCCTAGTAGCGTCCTTGTTCCTGGTAGTAAGGCCAGGAGCTACTAGTAGCGTCCTTCCTCCTAGTATCAAGGCCAGGAGTCCGTAGTAGCTTCTTGCTCCTAGGACTCCTAGGTATGAAATGCCTTAGAAGTCTTGGATAGTCTTGGTATAGTTTTCGGATCCTCACAGCCAGAGTTGCCAGAGTTGCAGTGGACGAAACAAATCCTGCTTTGTAGGAAGGAGACCCCCAGATTTGCTTTTGTTTTTCATACCTGTTTCCCAGTTTCTTTCGGTCATCTGAGCATCCCCTTGCTCCCGGCTTGAGTTCAGAAGAGCTTGCAAAACACAGGTAGACCGCTAGGCAGACCTGATTTGTCAATAATTATTGGACGCTCCAGGCTAGTTTTGATACATGATGAGTTCATGTTCATCTATACTCCACATCAGGAACTTGGTTGAATGCTGGTTCGGTCGGTCTCTGGAACCACTGGTGACGTCCGCAGGACTTATGAAACCGTCGTGCAAACGATCAGTTTGGAACATGAACATGCCCCAATGCTGGGGCGATTCCATTACTTCATGCCGCAACCCGGCAAACCAAGTGAAGTGCTTGATAGGATGATGAACCTGACGCTGAAACCAAAGCCTCTTCGGCACTTTGGGATTCCCATTCTCCTTGGCCAGCGCAGCCTTCAACGGGCCTTGCAAGACCTTGGCACATTGCAGTTCGCGTAGAGTGACCAGTGGAACGAGAACAATTCTGTAAGGGGACATCCAAACACACAGCACCGAACCAGGGGGGTTCCCGCAGGCTCGTATCTAAACCATAAAAAAACCACACGTGGTTGTTGGATCTGAATCTTTCTCCCCCTGGTGTCCTGCTTAGGATACACACAGCCTTTCTTGCAGTTGGAGGTGCAATTCTATAAAATTAATAGATAGGAACGCAATGGTGGTGGAGAAAAGCATCCTGCGGGGGTTCCAAAGGAGTAGTTTCTGACTAGGGATGCACACTATCCACTCACTTGGCGTGCTTGAGGTATTGTTGGCAACGACGACCAAGAACAATTTATCCGCATCTTTGGCCTTTTCCATCCTTTTCTGTGTCTGTTTTGTTCCTTGTTGTTGCTGCTTCCGGTGCCGGTGTTTTCCTCCTGAGGTGAAAGAATGTCTCCCTGCCGTGTTGCAGTGCATTTCTCCGCATCCTCGGCCACCTCTATCCACCTGGCTGGACGCGGGGGCTTGGACGATTGGGCGATGTTGGTGCTCCCATTCTCGTGACATGCCCCAATTATCCCCAATTGCTTCTTGCTCCTAGTACAGTAGTAAGAATGCTACTAGTAGCGATGCCCTTTGTTCCTAGCAGCTTCTTGTTCCTAGTCGCGATGCCCTCTCAAAAATCCAATTGACTCTCGGCCCAACTGGGCCACTCAGCAACTGTCTGTATAGAATGATTGATTTACAGGGCCAATCAAACTTCGAGAATAGTGGAGTTCCAAAGAATCCTGCTGGAATCCTTCCTGTCAAAAACATAGTTCTATTTGTATAATTAATTCAATAACTAACAACAGATCAAGTTAATGCCAGTGTCCACTTCGACCAAGTGCAAACAATTTTAGATTTTAGACCATTTTAGACCTCTAGCACCTCTCATCAGACAGTCTTCACCCCAGATCTGGGGCTCGTGGGCTCGCAGAGCCTCAGAGCGGCTCGATGCGGCTCGCACCTCTCCATCAGGTTTTGCAACTCGGTGGAGACAGAGGCGCCTGAAGACACCTTCCGTCACAAATGTTGCATGGACCCGGGACCTAAAGGTTGCGAACCAGGGTCTTCTGTGTATTTTTTGAACTCAAATCTTCAAACAGGACAGGAGTTCATGGCAGCATGCAAAAGGCAACATAATAAGGCAACTAGGAGCAAGAATGCTACTAGGGGCTCCTGGCCTTACTACTGGGAGCAAGAAGCTGCTAGGAGCAAAGCGCATCGCTACTAGGAGCATCCTTGCTTTCTTTTCTTTCCTTTTCGGCTCTCGGTATCCCTCGGCCCTTCCTTCCCTTTCGTCCCATCACCAGTGTCCGGCCTCCTCCAGCAGTTCCTTCACGTCCGCGACCAGGCGTTCACGACGTTGCTGGGATCCCAAAGCCATGCCCAAACCGTACTCCGCGGTGTCCTGGCGAAACCCTTGCAAGGTGGGTGGTTTTGTCATGTTTTGTCGACTGTGAGGGGAGTAGAGAACTATGAAGAACCACACCTCAAGCATCTTGTGTTCTCTTCCCGGGACTCTGCTGGCTTCTCATTTTTGCTCTTACCTACCACAAATCCACCACGATAGAGAAATTCCATGAAGTTCCGAGGTAAAGACCGAACTTGTTGCACGAGTTCCGTCAAATTGCCATATAGAGTCCACAAAAGGAGTCCATGTCAAATTTGAAGTCCCCCATTTTAGGTCACGGTCATCGCCGTTCTCCAGCTCCCGTCTCGATTGAATTCAGGGCTTGCTTCAAACTCTAGGTCGCACCCCACCCAGTCGGACATTTGGTGTCCAAGACAGGAAACCAGTTCAATCCTATAGTCTAGAAGCTGCTAGTAACCAAGGGATCGCTACTAGGAGCAAGAAGCCTAGTAGCTCCTGGCCTTACTACTAGGAACAAGAAGCTGCTAGTAACAAAGGGCACCGCTACTAGTAACAAGTGCGAAGCAAGCTTGTTCTAGTTGAGGGGGAGCCTCAACGAGAACCAGCACAGCCTGGAAAGTCAGTCCTTTGATCAGATGTGCTTAGAAACCCTCGAACTGCCAATCAGCGGTTTTGATTATTTATGTCAATAATCCTGGCTGCTGTAGGGGCACAACCATCGGGGCTCTGTGCTTTTTTATGCGAGTAACTTGTCCCTTAACCACCCCTACTTAAAACAAAATCATCGAATTTGACTCATTTTGGTGGATGAATCCAACAACTCCACACCACAGACATTGCATCCGATCGCCCACCCGGTCTTTCTTTGTTCCATCCGTGCCTCGAAGAGGCTTCGAGCCCAGGCGGGTCCTGAAGAAGGGAGGTGCATCACCAAAGCGGTCAACGATAGAATGGCCAAAGCATGCCAAAGCTGCCCCATTAAAGACAAAGGAATACTAATACTATGGATCCCACATGGTAGCAGTATTGTGAACATCCCGTACTTTCATGCAATGTAAGGCTTGCTCAAATCCTTGGATGTGTCACAGAGAATGTGGACCTCCAAGTTCAAGACTCCAGTAAAGGCGAGATATTGGGTGGAAGTAATGCTAAATTTTGGCACGCTGGCTGGAGAGGATACTGCTGCCACGCTCTCATACTTCGGAGTTAAAGGAACGTCAAGTCCTCTGCCAAAGCAATGGAGGTGTTGAACTTTCTTTTGTCGCTCACTTTCCAGGCAACTTTCCATTCAGCAAAGAGTCAGCTACTATGCGGCTCACGATCTTGATACCCAGAGGAAGCATTGTCACATATTGTCACGCTTACATTGGGATCCCGAATATTTTAGCTTAAATAGGCTCAAGTCCAACTATGAGCTTCACAAAGCCGCACTTGCCCTATGTTTGTGATCCCTTGCCTTTGTCTTTGCCTTTCTCGTGTGTGGGCAAGGTTGTGGCGTCTCTTAGAGAAACCTGCAATGTGGAGTTTCATAAGACCTTAAAGCCTTAGTCATTGCCGGGCTGGACTTCTGGGATGCCCTCCATGTACAGACTAGCCGAAGGCTTATCAAACACGCCACTTAACACTGCCCTGATTGGGAGAGATGCTGTTCTGATCACGGCCTTCAAAACAGGAGACACATTCTCCAAAAAATTGACTCGTGCACACAACACTAAACATGCTCGCCCTATCTCGTCCTGTTGGACCGTGGCACAGCAAATGCTTATGAACCGTGACTCAGGGTCACCTCCCGCAACACAAACATAGTTCATGAGTCTTCTGAATGATATATATTATATTGTATTACTGTATGGGTATGTATGGGTTCTGACTGGGCTTTCTTTCCATCCCCACATTTCTTTCATACTTCCATTTTGCAAACTCAACAACTATAAATCACCGGGCCAGAGCCAGCCGCAGCCCAAACGCGCGCCGGTTCCGACAGGCTTTTGTTTCAGCCTTGGCCATGGCGGTTCTTCTTGAAGGGGCTGAGGCCATAGGATCCACCCCAAACGGAGGAACAGCCACTGCTGTTGGCAATCACCATGCCTGGGAGGAAAGATCAGAACAAGGAAAAGACATCATTCGGCTCGGACTGTCCGACGGATTGCTACTGGTTCCCCAAAGTTTCTACCAAAACCGATGGCGGGTTGATGCAAAGTCAATAGCCAGTCGTTTGAAAATCAAGATGGCCAAGATGGCCAAGGAACATGAGGCTTCATGCAGGGAGTTTTTGACCGCATTCGGCATTAGTATTGAAACATCTTCCTTCTGCGCAGAAAGACCTGGGTGTGAATCCAGCTCTAAGAATAAGGAAGGATTCAAGGTATTTCAAGGTCACCCAAAGGAAGGACTGCCGTTAAAGGCCAATCCTGAAGTCAAGTGCAACCCGAACCCGATTCTGAAATGCTGGGTAATGGGTAGTGTTCTTAGAATATGCTGGGTAATGGGTAATCTGAAAGAACAGATTCTGATCAACTGACCTGTGCCGCGGAAATGATCTGCGCATCCACAAGTGTCTTAAACTTATAAGTACGAACCCAACACATAGGACATAGGATTTATTGGACATTTTGGGCACGGTTGGGCTTCTTCGTAAAGCAGAACTGCGTAAAAGGCATTAAAAGGCCATAGGTCCATCCTTCAATCGTCAACCACCACATCCCACCCAATGGACTATTTTCCCGTCAAGGGGCGATCGCCGAACATCTGCGTCAAAAGCTTCACGTAGGGTGTCTCGCCACACCCGGAGCACGCGCCACCTCGGTCGGTGGATGGCTAGCCATGGATTAGCATCAATGTCTCGGACAGGGCTTCTTCACGGTAAGGCCTCCAACCTACTTGCAATGGCCTCCAACCTGAATGCAAAGAGCATTCAAAGGGCTGGACTGTGGCTGTGGGTGCACTACTTTTGAGGTGAAGTCTCGCGTCTCACAGGAGAGCTACAGTCTGATCATGCTATGGCCACAGGTTGTCGAAATACTTGCACAACATATTGAACTTCGACATTGCCCTTTGACCTGCAAAGCTTGAAGGAGACCAGCTCCCGCACCCACCTGGCAACCCCCCAATGGATGTTGCATGGATCAAACATGAATTAGTAACAAGAAGCTACTAGTAAGAAGTGCATCGCTACTAGTAACAAGTGCCTTACTACTAGTAACAAGAAGCTATTAGAAACAAGTGCCTTACTACTAGGAGCAAGAAGCTACTAGGGGCTCCTGGCCTTACTAGTAGTAACAAGAAGCTACTAGACATTGGGCCATGCAACTTGCGCCTCACAGGGCCAAGCAATGCGAAGAAACCACCCAGGCTTAGGGAACGCTTGAAAGTTGCATGGCCGTAAGGGCAGATCACTGCGAGTTGCCACTGTACTCAACAAAACCAACAGTCTGAGATTGTTGTCAGGGTGGTTGAGCCATGAATCGATTGATTGAATCCAAGGATGGAACCATCATAAATCACACCAACCAATACGCTGCTCCCAGCAAACACCACCACACCACCAGTACCATATATATATATAGTACCACCACTATTGCCGGCGCCACTACCACCATGATGACAACCACAAGAACAGCTACATCTCTTGTCGTGACCGCGTCAACACTTTGATTTATGGAGTCTTGCTACAGGTCCCCCAACCACCAACCACAAGCGCAAAGTGCCTGAAAGTCCATCCGTGTCAGCAAAGACCTCCACTTGCACATTTTTGAAGGCCGTCACTGGCACTCGGTTGACTCTGCCGTGATCAGCAGCCTCACTGGTAGAATAGCTTACAATATAGGAGACCTCACAATCCCAGAAGATCAGACCTCACGATTCCCGGAAGATGCCACAGGATGAAGCAAAAAGAAACAACCTGCAGAATCCTACAGATTCCAATTCGTTCTACGAAAATCACACAAGCGGGTCGACTGGCGGTGTGAACCGCTCGACTCGATCGTTGCCAGGACGCTGAACTCGATCAAAGGCTCCTGAAACTGGGATCCTTAGAGCATGTCAGGAAGTGGCCGAAGGTCATCCCTTCTCACCTCCAATCTGAAAAGGCACAAACTCTAGCAATCTTTTGATAATTTGATAATATCATGACAACCAAAACACCCGCAGTCACACAACCATCATCAACCATCACTTCCAATTTAAAGAGAAACAAGAACCAGCTTTCTGGAGCTTTCTGCGAGTGGATCACGGGCAACCCTATATCCTCCACCCACAACCCCGACATGGAACCCCTGGCACAAAGTTCGCACTCCAGGGTTCCTTTCACCGATCCTCGCTCCATCAAGTTGTCCTTCACAGAGACCTGATGCTCATTTTTGGGTGCACCAAGCGCGCACACCGCAATTATCTTCTGTGAAGGTCCGAGCAGTCCGAGCAGGACCTCAGACGTTTTTTTGGGCACCCGCAAAAAAAAAGTAAAACACTCTATTAGCTTGTTCCATGTTTTTCCTACAGGTTCCTTTAACCTACAACTCGCAAGCCATGTTTGATTCGTGTGGCCAGTCTTGTGAACATGAAGGTTGGGAAAATCCTTGGGGCTTACTACAAGCGAAGGCTTCCACTGGGTTCCATGTCCTTCCCTGTCAGCCTTCTTCGAGGACTTTACAAAGTTGTAGGATGTTGTAGGTACAGGCTTCGGAAACTCTATAGGGCTGCTTCCTACACCACCCGAGATCACTTGATATATCTGTTCCGGACACACAATCCACTGGAATACCAAAGTAGTGAGGAGTGAGTAAGGGATTTGCATGGGATGTCTGGTGGTTTGTTCTAGATTCTAGTTCCGTATTCCTTATCACAATTAGGACTGGAGACACTATGTGCTCAAATGCTCAAAAAGGCAAACAGGGAAAGACAATCCATCTGAAGAGTGTCAGGACATGTCAGGAACCTTTTACTCCACACGACAGGTATGTGGTCAACCCCATGGAAGAGCTTCGAAGGGCCCTGTCATTTGCATCGAATGAACCAAAACGTTGTCAGTTGAAACAACTCCGGAGAGCTGAAGAAGTCACTCTGAGAAGATCCAAAAATGGCGCCCAGAACTCGCTATAGTCGGTCCATTTACCATTTTGTTTTGAGGGGTAGGCAGCTATAGAAGAGGTAAGCTATAGTAGCTATATAGTGGCTATAGTATTCATTAGGTACTGGGCGCTACTAGCGAACGGACGCAGGATAGCACTCGCGCTAATTAATCGATTTATTTTTAGGAACATTATGAAACTGTTTGTCCAGAAAAGTACCAACACGAGGGCACCCGGATGCTTGAGCTTATGTTAAATTGTGAGACATCACTGACATGAACAAACAAAACTGAGGCAATTGTGGCAAACATGTACTAGAAAGAAACTTGTAAAATTGAGGTAGATTGAGAGTATTTGAGAGACATCTTATCTGCGTCTGCAGTCTTGAAACATCAACACACTTGGCCCGAGGCTGTGTTGAGGGAGTACTCCCAGTGATCATTGAACTTCTCCTGCGCAAACCCGCGGGCCATCCTTGAGTTGTCGCTCATACATAGCTCTTGACGAAACAAGAATAACGTCTGCCCAGCTGATCGCAAGTTGTACCGTCATGGGATATGTACCAGCCATGGCCCCCCCGTGACAAGATCGAGTTGGCTTGGAGCATTGGGTCCTAGGCTGACTTGAAGTCATTATCAAGCCTCCAAATGAGATGGCAGGGACCAAGCTTTAGAAAATGCAAGGCACCCAGACGCACTTCGCGTGGACATGGAACTTCAACTCATCCGTGATTGCCCTCCCTGCAAGGAGCCCCTATATGTATATATATATAAGCCCTTAACAAACAAGAACCAAGTAGAGTAGCAAGACTTCGTCTCTTGGATGCATGTTGGCCACTGCTGGGGGGCTGCGCTGCAGCAGTAAAGGCCGCATGAGTTGATATAAAATGCAATCAAATGCAATGGTTCCGATGGTTCATTGTTTTCTGAGAGGGAAGGAGGCAGGGAGGAGACATCTACTCAGCCCTCAACCTCTCTTGTCCAATCTTCTTCCAGCTACCTGCTCAGCCAGGAAAGTGTTTTTGAACAGTTTGAGTCCTGACAATGGGAATGGATAGGGGTTAAGGGGGGTGGTAACCTACTTAAAAACAAGGCAGTTTGTCCATCTACTTCCATTTGGCTCCTGTGAGTGAGCAGCCGATTCCATGATCAACGCATCATCTGGGCACATCCTCACATGAGTCAGCGACCAGCTGAAGTCTGAAGTTTGGACCTCCGGTTGTGGGTGGTCATGTCCCCCCAAAACGAACAAAGCATCCTGTCAAAGGAAGTACACTTACGATTCTTCCGGGGCTACACCCAAAGGCGGACCTGTCAAAATAAGTTGCTTACCAAAACGACATCAACCACTTCAATACAGGAGCCCCTTGTGTGGATCGACTCGGCTTCCAATGAACAAACAAAAGAAAACACTTCAGCGCATGTGTGACCAAGCTGCTCCACACAGACAGCGCAGCCGGTGCAATCAAAGGGAGCCAATTGGATGGTGTAGTTGAGGCCTCACAACACGTGGCTGAAAGTAACATGAACCCGTAAACATGCTTTATCTCTTGTCACATTGTGTTGATGTTGAGCGAGGAACCTTAGTCCTCCATCAATTTGCAGGGTCCATGATGTTCCAACGATGTTCCATGTTGAATTCTTCAGGGGTGAAATATATCGAGCTGGGCCTTTCCCAAGTGGCTACTGGCTGTTGAACTGTGTCTCACGAAGTGTCTGCCTTTCCCGACCAGCGCCTGCTAAACACTTATCACCCTGGTTCCTACATTGAGACACTGTCGAGATGCTCAAGGCCACTTTTCTCCTACACCTTCTGTCTGAGAACGTCCAGCAAGTCCTCCAAGAATAAGAACAGTTGCCTGTGATGAACTACATGCGAATTACACTTGAGTGGTGGCGTCCATGATCTTCTTTTCCAAACACACTCGACCCCGAAGACTGATCGATCCAAATTCCCGTCGGCCGGGCCTCGCCTGCGAGGTCGCCGCCCTTGGCCTTCCGGGCCACGAAGCCTTCGGGCGCTGCTTCCATCTCCTGACACGAAGAAAGTCAGGAAGGGAGGCTATTTAGCTCGTCACCAACATACCCAAAGAGCTGCTTTGTTTTCACAGCTTGGAAATCTAGTTCATGGGTGCATGTTGGACAACTTGAGCTTTCATGATAAATATTACCCTGAATCATCAGTCATTCAAAGCTTCCGGCTTTCAGAAGAGTAGTGCCTGAAGCCGTTGTGGAGCTACTCTTAGCTTTGCCAGTTGGCTTTCTTTGACTGGGAAGATCCAGTTGGGTAAGGTCGATACGGCAACCAAATGATGCCCAGTCAGATGTCAACTTTGGTTCGTAAAAGCAAACATATCAGGCATAGGGAGCCAAAGATCTGGGGAGTGACGAGCTCTGAATTATATGTATCATATCCTATCATATCATATCATATATATTGTATAATCATATACGAGTATAATCTATAGTCTATACTCTATCCAGTAAACCCAATTAGCAACAAAGCCACCAAAATACGGTCGAGCCACTATCCCCAAGGGCCGTGCATTTACACACTCACACGCCTTGCGGGTTCGATCTGAGCTTCGAGTTCGTCGTGGGCTCGAGACGGGAGATCAAAGGGTACGAGAATGGTGTTCCTTTGGAAGGGTCGTTTGATCCTTCATGGACTAAGCTCATGCATTAAGCAGTTTGATATTTTTGAGGTCTCCAGACTCCACATCCTTCCACCAGGGCAGCATCACCAGCCTTCTTGTCCAACAGGAAGGGTCTCACCTCGCTTTGGAAACATTTCTTGAAGCAAAGGTCTGTTCAGGAGGATGGGTCGGGTTGGTGTGTCTGATTTATCCAAGTAGAAATAGAAGGAGCACATGTGAGGTAGCTCATGCAGTGCCTGTTGTCAAGGGGTGCTTGCATGTTCATGTCCGACTCCCAACATAATTGACCAAGTCCGATTGGACAAAACAAGCGCATTTTTACAACAAAACATGTTCTATCATTTTCTGATCTGATGATGAAAACATATTCTTGTTAGTGCAAGCACCTTCACTATGTATTATCATATACTGTATTGCATTTATGATATATATATATACCAACTATATTTGTGGTATATAACATAGTTGAACACGTGGATCCCTTAATGCCTTCACAAGCTTCACAAACATGGAACATGGACGATTGATCACCTGAGTTCCATGGCGACGATTCACTTCTGGCTGTGTGCGCCACAGGTCCTATCCAGGTTCAGACCCTACACATGAAGTCAGAAATTGAAGGGTCTGTGGAGACATGTTCACTTTTGCCCTTACGAACCTGGGCCATGGTTGGGTCCCTCATCAAAGGACGGAGGGGATTTCATGCGCAAGTGTCCCCCCCAAAAAGGCTGATGGCCTCAATCTGGCCCACTGAAACCTATCGTAAGAATATGCGAGAATCAGCCTTCAACCAAGCCCTTGTCAGTTCATGAAGGAATGCAACCAGCATGTTCTCAATGCTGGTAGCACCTCCCAGTTTAGGTTGATATCTCGAATCTAGGAGGCTCTTTAATATGGGGTTGTTACCGGCATGGTCACAAGAGACTCTCCTGCAAGTAGAACAGCGAGTTTGTGGGGCTAGTTCTCAAACGCACTCCCCAACGTCCCGGGATCTTCTTTCATCAAATCCTCGTCCAAGCTGCCTACTCTTCCCTATGGGGAGTTATACACGACGGACAAGCACTGGTTTTAGGAGCAGCTCAAACACAAATGACAAAAACAAACTTAGGCGTTTGGGACTAGGATCACCACATCCTAACCATAAAGCCTTATGTATTATTGGTATTTGATTTTTAGTCAGTTTGAGGAGGAAAACTCAATGCAAGTTGTGGACCCTGCTTCAGTTGACTTGGGTGATCCGCCCAAACTGCTTTCCTTTGCAGATATATCTGGGGCCTGCATGAACATGGCCTTTGAGGATTTCCAGGTCTCACAAGACAGTTACATTAATCATGTGGAACCATGTCATTGAACCATGTCGAACCTAAGGGTCTGGTGGGGGGCGCTATTGCAGGCTATGATGGTCTTCCGAGGCTACGATGTAGGATTCCCACTTCAAAGTCTTTTGGAGGACGGAAACAGAAGTGGCTGTGTCCGTACACCCCGATAGATTATGTTCAACGAACCTACAGGGCTTTGGGCCCTTTGGGCATTTCTTTGACATGCTTGCAGCTTGCACATGCAGGAACTTGAGCCCCCCCCGGGCTCCTTTCGAAGTGCCATTGTATGTGATGTGCAACACAAGACCGGCCCGGTCTCAAACAAACCAAGTGACTACTGCGTGTGGGCAAACGACACTGCAAAGGTTGCACTGGGTGCACTTGTCAGGAAGCCAAACCTAGGGGTAGCCGCTACAGTAGGCCACAGTTCGCCTCCTCTTGACAGCCCGAATGTGCAACTGGAGAGTGCGATCAAAACAAGGGCACCAAAACCATCAAAAAGAACACACGACGACAACTGGCCATAATTCTGGGAGTGTGAGTACTGCATAGCAGTTGGCCAGACAAAAAAAATGTCTCAAAACTCTGAGCATGGAATGTGCGGGAGCTATCCTGCAACACCATAGGCGGATATATGAAAGCAGTCCTGTGACTTCTAAAATGTGGAGAACTTGTCATGAATGACAGCATCAAAATGCCTTAAATATATTCAAGAGTTATGTTGGATGTTGTGCCAATACGGAACACTTGATACAAATCCTCAGTTGTGGCTCAAATGTTTTGCAGACTATAAGGGGAACATCGCCTTCAGGTTTCATGCGACACTGTGAGGGTGTTTTGCAGCACATGCTGTTTGATCCTCAGGCGTTTCCACCTGCAAAAACATGTCGATTTCAGTCATCACCTTACAACATCAGATAACACTTACTGTACAACAATTTACAATCTGCAAGATCTCCAACATCACAAACGTCAACAACTCACCTCACCAAGGTGCAGGGACTTCATCCGCCAAAGCTCTCTTCTGATGCGTGGATTGGCCAATGGGGGTCTCACCACCTGGACTGAAGGCACTTACCTGGGCGTCTGTCGGACCAAATCTGGTCTCGGCACAAGCTTTTCGGTCGTTTTTTGGGACATCTTTTCGAAATCTGCGCGATCCCAACTTGCGACGACTTGGATCTGCATGGGACCTGATTTCTCAAAGGTGGAATTTCAGGCTACATTGCGTCTACACCCCAGGGCCCAGGCTACAAAAAGGAGAATCTCTCCATTTCTACCACCTCTTCCAACCAGAAACCCTCCTGGGAGTAAACCCTGAGCTTCCTTGATTCTGTAACAATCTGCGATTACAACTCCAACATACTCTGCCTGAAGCATTCACATCGAAGACTCTCAACAGCCCAGTACAAGCCTTAGCTAAAGCCTTTGTGAGTGGAGCACAAGCTACAAACCAATCCAAACATCCTCAGTAGGTACTTGCAACCTCAGTGTGTTGGGTATTTTGTGCAACTCGGGATGTGTGGTGAACTCCCCGGAAGCCCATGGCCCACATGCGCATTGTCTCAGCTGCTGCGAGCTCGTCGGCAGTTCGTGAGTCTATGCTCCTGGGCGGAACAACCCGGGGTGCTGGGAGTTTCAATTGTAGCCGAGAAACACACTGACTTAGAAACAATGGTTCAATGGCTTTGCAAAATGGCACGAAGTCACCCGCCACACTAAATGAAACTTGATACAAGAGACCTTGTGTGATCTGTAGCACCGCTGTATCATCAATCAATTGCTCTGAAATCACTGTACTTTGACCCATGAGGGTGGCTGGTGGTACCCATGCTGGCCCTACTGGGAATCCCTACAATAGTCAACTGAACGGGTGGATTTATTGGATCATTCGCAGGAATCTAGAATCTAGAAGCTGGATGAGGCTGGATGGCTGCCAGTGCATGAGGGGTCCTAAAAATCATATAGTTGTTTGCACAATAACTCAAAGTGCTACCCCTTCCACCAAATGTGATACCTCTGCCAGGGTTCGGTTTGAGGTCCCTTTGTCTGTGGAGGCCCTGCAGTTGTTAGAGGAACAATATGACTAGCGTATGACTATATTTATTGTAGAGATTAAGAAGTGTGTGTATTTAAACGTTGAACATCGAGGACCATCTCTGACAAAATGGTTGGAACCAAAGAACCTTGAGCAAAACACCAGGAAGTTCTGAGAGAGTTTCGACCTGGAGACGGCCATGCAGGAGCACTGAAAGGCAAAGAACGTGTCCAAACCCTTTCTCTCCCCCTCCAAGCCTAGTCAAGTCTTGGTCCAAAGTGGATGATCTACTACACAAGTGGCCTTTCCTCCCAAAAACACACACATGCAATTTGTGAAATCGGCATCACTCACTGATTGCATTGCCGCGGCGAGATGCTTTAGGAAGGTGGAGCTGAACTCATCAAGCTGTGGGCTGTAGGGGCTAGCGGAAGGGTTCATCCTCCTCAAGGAGTGCTCGTTGTCCTGGAGTCAGGCGGTCTAGATTCCTCTCTAAATCATTTTTGGCATACAAAGGCATGAATGGTTGTTTAAAGGTGGACAGGATGATAATATAAATATGACTATTACTATCAAAATCAATCAAACATAGTAGCCAAACAACACTGCAGCATCATAAACATGCAATCTTGTAGGTCTTTGTGAATTGTGTGATTGTATGATAAACATGATAGTGTGCAAATCACACCTAGTTGATTACATCAAAGAAGGTAGGACTGGATTACAAGTACAAAAGTCATGGCCTCCAAACAAAACACATACCGCTAAGAAGTGTTGAACAGGAGCATCAATGTTTGTTGCCTGGGTGGTCGCAGGACATTCCTATTGCATTTCTTAGGGCTCTTTATTGGAACACCCCCCATTGACACGACCCCTTGCAACATGAACCAAAGTTGGTGATGCACAGAGCCATTGAATTTCCTTATTGCATCCTCGCACTGGCACTTGCGATCCGCGATCCTCCCACTAGCGATTTGCATGTGTGTTTCACCTTTGAGATCTGGTGCGGGCTGCCCTTGGCACAAACGCCCTCCCTCTTGCCGCCACACTCTCGCTATTCCAAAACACAACGCATTTTCCTGAGCAAAGATCCTTCAAAAGCTTAAGGCGGTAAAAAACAAATACCAAGCAGAACGTAGGCATTGAGGCAAAATGGAGATGAACTGTTTATTGCCCCTCCAATGAAACATGACTGTTTGGCTTCCCTTCACAGCGAGATTTGACACGCTGTCGGCACGCGTGCATGGCCATGTGTGCTGTTGTGCAACTTGCATTGCACAAAAAAGAAACAGCAGCCAAATCATTGAGTGCAGATTGGTCTGACATAAGGCCAATCGGTCGCTTTACATCCACAGCAAGGAGCATACATTACTGAACCAATGTTTACAGGTGAAACCTACGTCTGACATCAATACATAACATATATCAATCCTTTGTTTCATGATGCTTCATGGTAAGCACGTGTGACGAAACAGTGGACTTCTCCATGTGCATGACCTGCATGTTGGGTGTGGGATCTAAGGCCCAACTCTGCGATGTCGTCCTCTGCAGTGAGCCAGGAGGATGGGTAGTTGATCCTGACGGCAAATCCAAGAGATGCTTGTTGCTTGCTAGCTCAGGCCCTGTTTCTGCCCACGGACCGGAGAAAGACGTAGTGGTTCCACTTACGGGGTCTGTAGTACATAGAATCCAGGATGATCGGTGACCTACTCATCATGGCTGCTAATCGCTTGCGTCTGCAAGAAGTGGCTCAGGCTATTGGAGTAAGACGGAACATGAGCACAAGAGAACGGGGGGCCGGTGTGAGTCCCCACCTTTTACAAGGACGCTACTAGGGGCTCCTGCCACGGCTTCTAGGAACAGGAAGCTACTCGGGCTCCTGGCCTTACTACTAGGAGCAAGGACGCTACTAGGAACAAGTGCATCGCTTCTACTAACAAGTGCCTTATTAGTAGTAACAAGAAGCTACTAGGGGCTCCTGGCCTTACTACTAGGAGCAAGGATGCTTCTAGGGGCTCCTGTTGAGATTGTCCGGCGCCGCTGCCAAGGCGGCCTTGTTGGAGCGGACGATCTCCGGCGACCTGAACGTGGCTGGCGAACAGGACCGAAAGTGTTTTGAGACCTTCATTTGCACCCTCGTCAGTGAACACTTGCAGGGGGGCCAGCTTGGCCTCCAAGACAATGGCCAAAAGGATGTTTTTTGGAATGAACAGGCAACTGCATGTAACTGCATGGCTAGCACATGCTAGCACACTAGCGAGGCACCATGAACTCCTGGACTCAGCTGGGTCTTCCGCACTTCTTGCCGTACATTCGATCGATCGCCCCTTCCAACTGCTCCTTCGCATCCTGCACCGTATGTGAGCGCCACAATTGAGACTCAGGATGGAAGGGTGCCGGACCACAACCATCCGCAAATGGGTTGTCCAATGGAGACTTTAAGTCTTTATATAGAGGCCTGTAGGGTAATCCATTGGTGATTTAATGGATGGCTTAGGAGGAACTTGCAAAACAAATGCTTCTCTTTCGGAACAGTTGTTTCTTTCCCCGACTGACCGACCCAACTTCTGTCCTCCGGCGGCAGGATGCCAGAGAGGTTGAAGAAGGTCGCCTGGGGAGATATGGAAGGTCTCACACCACAACGCCAGAGTTGGAAGAATGGACATGGAAGAGTCTGGAAGAGGCTAAGAATTGCAAAATGGAAATTCAGCCTGCTTTTGGGGTGTTGTGGATGGGTTTCCACCTTGACACCAACATGGAGCCAAAGAATGGATCCATGGAAAAAGTGGCATGTGGAGGTCCATCTTGGTGGGATCAAACATGATAGAACCCACCTGAGTGAAACACATTTGAGATAAACACTTGACCACATCAACCAATTCTACAGTGCTTGGTGAGCCACATGGTTGTCTGGTCATTGAAAGGTCTCTACGCTGGGCAAGAACATCTTCCAAAAAACAACAATGAAACAGTAAGGGAAAACCTGTCCAAAGACTGACTGATATGTATGATTTCTTATTCAAGCCAAACCCAAATACCAAACAAGGGGTTGCACAGTAACACCTGCCTCCGTCGGTCTTTCGTAGATTCTCCAAAAAAAGCCTTGGTGAAGGGACCCAGACCCCCTCTCAACCGACATAGTCTGGATCATCCTTAGCATGCTGAAGTGCTTTTTATCCTTTCAATGTGCCGAGATCGTGACCTATTTCACTTGGTTTATAGGGGTTCATGATGCTTTCTCACATGTGTGATTTTCAATCCAAAGACCAACCACCCATGCCCACCCGCTCCGCGGCCCGCTCCTGCATGACCTGATTGATACGCTTGGCAGGCAAACCTGACAACGGAGTCGTGGACCTAGTGACTTAGAGCGTGTGACGGCACAACTCCTGGTGTAAGTCTTTCTATATATTGATGGGCAACTGTCTATTCCTGGGTCCTACGAATATGATAGTTCCAACTGGAACCGTTTACTCACCGGGTAGTGGTGGTGGAAATCTAGGAGTGGTCTGGATATCAAAGGGAGTTCTTCTCCAAGACCAGTTCCGGATGTACTTCCACACCAAAGATGATGCACGTCAGGAGTAATTACCTGAGCCTACAATCCCTCAGAAATTATCAGAATATACGCAGGAATCCAACAAAAATTAGTAGCGGAACCTACAGGAGAAAGGACAAACGAGCTCAAGCAACTTCAATAGCATGTACATAATATTCTTAATGGAAGTACGTAGTTCGTGGCAATGCTTTCATCCATGTATTTATTGCAAACTGTCGACATGCGGTACGCACTCTGCTTGCCCAAGGTTAAGCTGAGGAGTGGTCATGGCAACAATCGAACACTGGTGGGGTCTTAGACAATATCAAAGGAACATCAAACTGGACAGTGTCCTTTCTTTCATGCTGTTGGGCATTGGCTTGACGCGGATTTGACGGTCAGCACAACTAAGCATGTGCGAATGGCATTGATAACAACACCTTTTGGCTTGCACTGTTTTCATACACCTGATCTGAAGCACGGAGCATGTGCAGCATATCTATTCATTCGTCCTACATGAGGGCATCATGAGGGGATCTCTGGCTCAGCCCATTTGGCTAGTCTTTCAAACTGCATTGAAGCCACATGATTCAGACTTGCAGCCGGTGAACAATAAACGACACTCTATAACAAAGCTCCCCTGTGCACATCACGTCTTTTGGAGACGACTATTCAGGCAAACTTCCCGGCTCAATGATCACCTAGGAAGCAATTAGCAACCAAACCTCCCAACAACAAGAAGCTACTAGTAACAAAGGGCATCGCTACTAGGAACAAGGGCGCTATGAGTAGCAAGAAGCTATTAGTAGCTCCTGGCATTGCGCTTTGGGAGCCAAACATCCTGCATTCAACACACAAGAAACCTTGCTCCCATTGACGTGAGCCCACGGTCATTGCCTACGGAGCTGGCCACTGCGTGGGCGTCAATGGTATAGAGCTCCACCTGTTTCCGCTCTATGGTGACTCGATGGCCGGGGCAAGGTCCTACTAGGACGCTACTAGGCGCTCCTGGCATCGCTATTAGGAGCAAGGACGCTACTAGTAACTAGTAACAAGGAGTATGGAATTTGCACCTCCGGGACCTTCGTACTTTTTTGCAATGAGACCGTCACGTGAACAACCAGAAGCATTGATGTTCAAAAACGATTGGGCAAAGGCTACATAGTCTCTAGTGAATTGATGTAAATCATAGTTAACAATATGAAAGAAAGCGCAGAAATTGCACTGAATTGCTTTGAAGGACAAAGCGGTTGTAAAGCAAGCATATTCCAAAGCAAAACAAAACCATTTATTGAAACCTGAAGAATGTGCATATGCGTTGGGTATATCGTATACCCCATTCCCTGTAATAGTGGCTGATGATGGTTAGCAAAGGCCTTTCTCCAATATAGTGGTAATTGTTGAGTCGACTGTCACAGGCAATAGGACACCCAAACATACGCTTTGTTTAGCTTGCAACAATGATAGTCTGAAAAAAAAACAACAGGAGCCACAACTACACTACACCTGGCTTCTTCAAGACTTACTGCAACACGTTCAACATGAGATAACAAGTATAAACTCTAAACAAACTGAAATTCATTTCAATGAAACAATTTCATATCAAACACTACTTAACAATTCTACGATATGGCAGCCTGGCATGCAAGACCAATGAACTGATTGAACAACACCAAAAACAAGTTCAGAATAACAAACAACAAACTAACAAAAAATGATCCAAAGATACAAGAACATAGAACAAATTCCCAGGGTTGCAGGAGGAGGCCCATCGGCAGCAAGTTCGTTGAAAAGACGTATCTTAAGGTTCATGTATACCAGGATCTTAGTGGCCACTCCATTGAACAAGTCTATTGTTTAGCTTGAAGTTGGTTTCCAGGACTGGTGAACTCTCCTCATGATTATTATTGATTGCTGATCAAATACCCCGAACCAATACCAAAAGACAGCATAAGAGGATCAAGGGGGGCTTCCAATAGGGAGAAATTGACATCAAACAAATCAGCAATCTGCCCAAACACGCAGGAGTGTTGGCTCCTTCTGTGCTCCTGCATGCTTTTCGAAGTGTTCGCCATCGCACCTTCTTCTCAGCGATGGCTTGGCGGAGCTTTGCCGGGAACTCTTGATCCAACTCCTGTCACGACATGGCATCACGATTCGTGTCATGACATGGAACGAGTCCCTGAGATGGGGACTTCTCCCCCAAGTTGCAACATGTGCAATGATGTGGGGCTCAGTTCTGAAATGTGCGAGCGAAAGCTGAACTGCCACAAGACGTTTGGAGCAATAGGTCTACAACTAGCATGTGCACTTGCACAAAAAACTGGATACAGGAAGCCCTCACAGGCGAAGCCTGGGATGCAAATAGTCAATTAGTCTCAACTCGCAAAGCTCCAAAGGGGGGTTGAGAGAAGTCAGTGAAAACGTGGACTTCGACCTTGAGAGAAGTCAGTGAAAACGTGGACTTCGACCACTTTTGACAGCTAAGCTTCAACACTTTGCTCTCCAGTTGGCCTTTGGTCCACTTGCAAGGTTTAGCGCAACCATGTGCAACCCGGATCAGGACAAATATATATATATAGGTAATTCATTCACCAATCAATGGCAGCACGCGCAACCACCAAAGAGTGACTCAGTTCCTCAATGTGCTCGAACTTTATCACCCATTTAAAACCCAAGAGCTTCAGTGCTGAACGCAAAGGTGGCAGCACTTAAAATCAAGCAACTGCTTGAAACTACCCACGTCCCGTGGCATACCTCACAAATAGTTGGCGATGTCAAGTGTGGTTCTAAAAGCGACACGCTAAATCCATGCCCTGATCGTTGGGTCATGTCGTGCTCATTTTGTTCCGTCCTCCACCGTCTTCCAGGGGCAATTGACCACAAAGGCCGCGCCCTCGCGAGCCTATGACGTAGGAGGAAAGAGCATGACGTAGCGGTGTAGCGCAATGTAGAAAACAGTTCTTCAATATATGCACAATCTTTTCATTGAATTCTGCTAGTGGAATCACAGTTCCTTACACACTAGACCACACTAGTAGTTATTGAAATTATTGTGAAGACTATCCAATAACTGGCCTCGCCCTGCCAACTCTGGCCTCGCCTTTGAGAGCATGTCAAACTTGCTGAGGAAAGACCTTGGCGGATCTGAAAAAACGCATGAACAAGCATGTGAATCGGATCGGCAGATCGGCCACCGGGAGACCCCACAGCTCTCGCTAAATCGGTCTGTGGATCCGGATGCCGACATATATGACATCAATTGACATCATATGACATCCATGCGCAACTGACTGGACATCCAGCTCCAAAGACAAGCTCAACCTGTCTTCTAATGTTTGTTTTTCACCGGAACTCCTGGCATAATCACTTCTGCCGACACAAACATATTGAGTAGCACTGCACCGAATTTAGTTTGGATGGAAATCAACCGGCAGTGGGCAGGTTATTGTCACATTCTTGTTCTTTTGAATGCACAGGGTTCTCTCCATTGATCCAGCCGGGGGGGCAGCAGGTCCAAAGACCACACCGTGAAGAACGGACACGAGCATTTTCCAAAGCCTTTCTTTTTCAGCAAACGGTCGGAAGGAACTGCTTACGCAGGTACTTTCGCTTTGCATACCCAAACAAGTAAGGACAAACTTTCTGTACCACAACGCAATCTTGCCCACTCGTAATATAATCACATGGACAAACGAAGCTTACAAAGACTTTTCTTACTACGCTTATAGTGCTTCAGCAAAAAACTAATTGCTTTCGCGGCCTTGCACGATTCAGTTTTTTGATGTTTTTTGCTTTGGCACAGTCCCCTTATGTGCAGGCCCTATCTAAACAAGAACACTGAGGCTTTGGACGATGCTCATTTGGGGACCTTGGATCTGTGGATTACTTGAGGCCTTGGATCTGGTCGTCTGTTACATCCACAATTGTGAGCCATCCTGCAGCCAAAGGCAGAATCAAGGCTATCACCATAAGCTTCTACTTTTCTTTGTTCTGTTGGAGCCCAGACTTCCATTGCCTATAAGGCAACCCTAAAAACTGAAGAGAACATAGCTATCAGTAAAGCAATCTTCTACACCATTGGATTGTGGGTTCACTGGGTTCACCTTAGTGTTCAATTGTAACGCAGCTTTTAACTTTTTTGGATGCTGGGACCTGGACACGTATCCTTGGCTGCTTTGAAAAGGCACCAGAGGGTTTTGGGCTTGCCTCAATCTAGCATTGATTCCTTTGAGGTTGAAATGGGCTGAATCAACCCGGCAAACCAAAGAACAAGTCCAACAACGCGAGCCAAAACTTCGTACCTGTGAAGCATGGTGAACAGCTGGAAGAACACATCCACCGGGTGGGATTCTCTTTCCTCGAGAAAAAATAACACTCATCTGCACCAAGGCACGTGTGATGGCATGCGACATAGTCAGCTCCCGGGCTACTCTCGATCTCATATTCCGAGCGAATGGGCTTGGGCCCAAAGCCTTGATGCGTTCGTCTTTCATCAAAGAAAGCGTCCGACAGCTTCAGGCAAACAAGCTTGTTGTGTGTTCTCTTGTTTTCTTGTCCACTTCTTACCTTCCGTTCATTCCTTTCCCTGCAAGAAACCCAGAGGTCCAACACCGGGGTCGCTTCAGGGATTGTTGGTGAACCTATGGGAACACTGAGCTTGTGCCCCAGAAAAAGACCTACCACCATGCAGTTCCTAGGAGCCCAAGGTCCCGTGGTGAACACATGTGTACATCCAATATCACCAGCAGAATTGTCCATTGTGGAAAGTGTTACCCCAAGGCAGCAAAATGAAGGACCCATATCAAGAATGAAGATCTTCTGCTGGACAAATCGAAGCCCAAACAACCCTGTATGGGCACATGTGAACACATACAGTGGTAAATAATATGATAAATCTTGAAAGGATGTTTCCTCGAACACTATGGCCAGTCATAATGCTCAGCTCTGTTTTTACTTTACGGAGGGCATTACGCACACTGACTCATAATCTCCACACACACGAACATTAACATCGACATAATATAGGTTCAATATACTCTGTGCATCTCGGTGCATTGTTGGGACTCAGAACAAACGATTGGCGGGCATAAAGCGGACTGAAACCTGCAATGTGTCCGTTTCTCCCATGTTTTCCTGGGTTCTATATCCTAGGGGGGTCACCTCATTGTAAGTTACAATGTCCTAATACTAATGTACCTGACAAATTGTAACTTACAGTTGTGAGGCTTCTGAATTGGTCAGACATCCAATAGGCCAGAAAAATGTAACTTACATTTATCCAAAAATGTAAGTTACATTTTTTAGGCTTCATTGAATAGTATGGCATTTCTCAACATGTCAAAGCAGAATCAGCAGTTTTTTTCTGCGCCAGGAAAAGTCGGAGTTTACATTTTGGAGGCTATCATAGAACATCGTAGAACGAAGGAACATGTAAGTGGAAACTGTCTAGGTGTGTTTGTTTGCAGTTTCCACCACCTTTGCTCACTGTAAAGCTGTTTCCAATTACATGTTTGAAGCTATCATAGAACATCATAGAACAAGGAACATGTAAGTAAACAATGTTCAGGTATGTCTTCCTGCAGTTTCCACCACTTTTGTTCACTGTCAAGCTGTTTCAACTTACATTTTTGCAGGCAATCAAAGGACATCTTAGAACATCTTAGAGGTAATTAACACAGAGACAGGGGGAGAGGAGAACAAATTTGAAGAAGTGCATCAAACATAAGTCCTCAAAACTCTTCAAACATCAAGGAAAGACATGCCAAATAGCTAACAATTAACAAGATGGAACCCACGAACCCGAATGCAAACACGATCGAAAAACTAATATGTCCAAATGACACTCTTGTAGGACACTCTTGTGGGACTCTCTTCTGGGACACTCTTGTAGGACACTCTTGTAGGACACTCTGGTAGGACACTCTTGTAGGAAACTCTTGTGGGACACTCTTGTAGGACACTCTTGTGGGATACTCCTGTAGGACACTCTTAAGGGACACTCTTGTGAGACACTCTAGTGGGATACTGTTGTGGGACAGTCTTGTAGGACACTCTTGTGGGCCACTCTTGCAGGAAACTCTTGTGGGACACTCTTGTAGGACACTCTGGTGGGACACTCTTGTGGGACACTCTTGTAGGACACTCTTGTGGGATACTCCTGTAGGACACTCTTAAGGGCAACTCTTGTGAGACACTCTAGTGGGACACTCTTGTGAGACACTCTTGTAGAACACTCTTGTGGGTCACTTGCAGGACACTCTTGTGGGACACTCTTACACGACACTCTTGTAGGACACTGTTGTGGGACACTTTGTAGGACACTCTTGTAGGAAACTCTTGTGGGACACTCTTGTGGGACACTCTTGCGGGACACTCTTATAGGAAACTCTTGTGGGACACTCTTGTGGGACACTCTTGAACGACACTCTTGTAGGACACTCTTTTGGGTCACTCTTGTAGGAAACTCTTGTGGGACACTCTTGTAGGACACTCTTGTGGGACACTCTTGTGGGACACTCTTGTGGGACACTCTTGTGGGACACTCTTGTGGGACACTCTGGTGGGACACTCTTGTGGGACACTCTTGTAGGACACTCTTGTGGGATACTCCTGTAGGACACTCTTAAGGGCAACTCTTGTGAGACACTCTAGCGGGACACTGTTGTGGGACAGTCACGTAGGACACTCTTTTGGGACACTCTTGTAGGACACTCTTGTGGGACACTCTTCTGGGACACTCTTGTAGGACACTCTTGTAGGACACTCTTGTGGGTCACTCTTGTGGGAAACTCTTGTGGGACACTCTTGTAGGACACTCTTGTGGGACACTCTGTGGGACACTCTTGTTACAAAGTCGCCAGTGCTCGCCTGCATTTCGCGCGCTCGACGCGCACGATCTCCGCAGAGGGTTGCGCGGGCACCGGACAAATCGCACTCTCGCCTGCATTTCGCGCACTCGGCACGCACGATCTCCGCAGAGGGTTGCGCGCGCATGGGACAAATCGCACTCTCGCCTGCATTTCGCGCGCTCGACACGCACGATCTCCGGAGAGGGTTGCGCGCGCATGGGACAAATCGCACTCTCGCCTGCATTTCGCACACTCGACACGCACGATCTCCGCAGAGGGTTGCGCGTCAAGTCTCCAATACGAGCGTTTCGTACGAGACTTCCTCAAAAACTCACACGTCAAAGTCAGCAAAACGAGCGTTTCGTACGAGACTTCCTCCAAAAGTCAAGCGGAAACACCCATCAAAGCACACACATCACGCAGCCCTGCCAAGCAGTTTCGCGATTCCAGCCCCTCCAAACAACATCCGCTCACACGCCAATCCCAATGTGACAGCGACATTCACCTCTACCACAACTCACAACCTCACGATTCCCTGCGCCTGCCACGAATCTTTCCCCATCCACACGTCTGACGCGCGCAAAGTACTGCGCCTGCCACGAAATGTCACCTCCCTCACACCTCGCAGCCTCACGATTCCCTGCGCCTGCCATGAGAATCGCACTTCCACGCTTCAAAGCCCGCACGAAGTCCTGCGCCTGCCACGAAAAGTGTCAATATCATCGCATGTGAGCTTCAACAAAATTTGCACCACACCACACGTTTGGAATGATTTCGACCCGTTCAGAGCACACTCCCATCCTCCAAAATCGCCATTTCAGCTGAGACTTGTCACGAAAACAGAGCTTCGATGCCACACCCTGAAACGCAAATCCCAATGGCACGGCCACATCCAACACCCCAAAAACACGACTCTCCAAACACTAATCCCAATGGCACTGCGCAGCAAACTGCGGATCTCACAAAACGCTGCGCCTGTGCAGCGAAATGCATCACGTTTCTTGCGCAACATGTCGGTGTCATGCAAATCACAATGGAATAGCGGCGCAAGCTGACACGTGACACATCCATGCAAAGTCACTTGCAAAAGCTTCCCCCAATGGCAGCAAATTTGAGACGCGACGACGACGACAGACGACGACAGACGACGAGAGACGACGAGAGACGACGACAGACGACGAGAGACGACGAGAGACGACGA